CAAAGGAGCTGACCTTGGACTCAGCCACTGAGCTCTCTGCCTTCGCCAGCCAAACTTCTGGAAGGGGGACGCGCTCCGGGCCCTGCCAGGCTGCTGGGTGGGAGGTGCTGGTGTGGACACCCTGGCGTCTGCGCGGCGCATGCCTGGGCTGAGCAGCACCCCGGCTGTACCTGAAAGCAGAGGTGCAGCTGGGGGCACGCGCCGATGCTCGCGGAGGAAAAGCATCTCTGTTCTCGGAGGGTCCCTCTGTTTCCCCTCGCCCCGTCTCCTTTGCAGCCTTTTTTGCACCGCTGTCCGGCGCTGCAGGCCCGGTGCTCCCAGGCTGTCCTTGCACAAGGGCCACGTGCTGCTTCTCCCTGATCCCACCAGCAGCATCTCCTACCTCCTGCAGCCTGTTCTTTTCCCTCCTTTGCACACATGTTGCAGCACAGGAGGCTAAATCCTGCCCAATGAGAGCTGCTAAGGTGCTTTACAGCACTGATTCCTTCTTGAACATGAACCTGCTCCTGGCAGAGCTGTCTGTGTGAGGGGGCTGCCAGCCCCAGGCCCTTGGGTGCCACACGTGCAGGGGGAGCCGTGCCTTGCCGGGGGGCTGGCAGGGAGACCGGCCCTCCAGGGTCTCCACGTGGTGCTGGAAGAGGCTGGAGGTCTGTGGCTGCAGTGCAGGGAGCTGAGTCTGCATCTCTGTTTTTTCTCCCAGCTCTGTGGTTGAGCAGCACCGTGACTCAGTTTCCCCATTTGCAGAGGGGGTCAGTGCTATTCAGCACCTCCCAGGAGGGCTGTGAGCACTTTGCTGAGGTCGTGCCAGGAGGCACTGTGGGCAGGAGCTGGGAGGGGAGAGGAAAGGCTCTGGGGACAGGGGGTGAGGGCTGCCAGCGAGGAGCCCTCCTGGGCTGAGGACCAGCCTCGGGCAAGACACTGTGCGTAGCCCCGGAGCCTAACAAGGAATCTGTCTTGCAGCGGACTCCTCCAAGCAGCAGATCTCCTGCTGCACGGCCACCGTGGTTTCCAAGAGGAAGGAGCTCTCCCTGGCCGACAGGGTCAAGCTGCTGCAGGCCCTGGAGTCACCGTCAGCCTCCCTCTCCAGCGTGGCCAAGCTCTTTGGCATCTCCAAGAGCCAGGCGGGCCGGATCGGCCGGAGCCGGGAGCAGATCCTGGCCGACTGGCGCACCAACGCCAACCCGCTGCGCAAGCGCAAGCGTGAGGGCAAAGGCGGCGAGGTGGAAGACGCGCTCTTCGCCTGGTTCCAGCAGGCGCTGGCCCAGGGCGCGG